ATTGAGGACCGTCAGGCTGACATATTTGGTGGCCATACCACTCAACTGAGTTCAGTTTCAATTGGTCGGCACAAGGACGGAAAACTCCGGGCGTCGCTCATTCCCAAGAAACCTGGGTCCTTGCGTGGGGTAGCCACGGAGACATTTTCCTTGGTTTCTTTCCGATTCCGGTCAAGGTCATGCCTGCATGAGCTTGGTGACGTCCGGGGTCAAGCCGCAGATGGTCATCATGGAGCCTTGGTTTCGGGGGAGCGGGAGTGCGCTTTTGCGTCGATCATGCTTGTGTGTGCTGACTGATGGTGGCGGTGGGCTCATGGTGCTGGTCATTTGCCACTTTTGGAGGTTCCAAGAAGGGACATGGAGTAACCCAATGCCAAGTTGCTGCCGCTGTTGTGCCCCTAAATTCCAAAGACAGCAGGCAGTTCAAGAGTATCTACTGTAAGTAATTCCATCTTTCCAGGGAGCAAATGGATGAGTCTAACGCCACGAGAGACTTCCCTTGCCTAAGAAATGACCCGTGGCTATTCTGGAAAGCCTTTGAAAACATGGTGTTGGAACGCAAACCCTTGGGCCACTATCTAATACAGACACCCAAGTTGGTCGGTCTTTGCGTGTGCTTCTGACGGGTGCTTCGCAAGATGCAGCGAGCTTAGGATAGTGTCTCTTCGCAGGGCATCCAGGCACCTGGGCCGGGGTATCTCTGGATGGCCCTGACCCGATGGCAGGCACAGAGATTCCAGTCTCTCTCAAAAAAAGCCCTACCCAGCAGTTGCCAGTATGAACATGTCATTTTGCAAGCTCGATCAAATGGGTTGGGCGACCAATGTTACCATCTAATCTCCTCCCCCTATTAATGAATGACCCCCATTAATAATAAATGCAAATCCGAGGCCCGAGACCAGATTTCCACTCCGTACAATTGATTTTCAATTGCCCCAATACTAAACCAATACTAAAGTCTTGGAATCCTTATTAGGGGGCACTTTTAGCAAGCTTCCAGCTCCACTTTTAAAAAGGTGGGTTCCTCAATTCCCCAAAAGGTTGCTTCCCTAAAAGCTGTCTTCCCCAAAAGGTTGGGTTCTTTTGGTGGGTTCCCCAAAAGGTTGTTCTTGACTCTCTCCCCAAAAGGTTGTCCCTGGTTGTCCCTGGCTCCCTGACTTCTTTTTTTTTCGCGCGGCTCCGTAGCTTTCTGCCTGGCTTCCTGCCTGGCTCTGTTCCCCCCTTATAGCCAATCCTGCCTGGCCTCTCGCCTGGCTGTCATCATTTCTGTTCCCCCCAATGAACAAAAATGATAAAGAATTATAATTATACTAACAGAAACAAAACAACTCCAACACATAAATGATAAAAACACTCCCCAAACCAAAAAAAAAAAGAGGAACTAACAGAAATGATGACTTGGCCTCGACTGCTAAACTGCCTGCCTATCTGTCTGGCCTCCCTACCGGGCCATGGCGGCAAGCTGTCTAGCTGTCTGCCTATCTGGCTCTCAGCCTCGCAGGCAGAGGACCAGCCACGAAAACGGCGGCCCTGCCTGCCTCAGCCGGCTGAAAAGCTCGCCTCTCAGCCAGCGCCTGTGCTCCTGTCTGTCTTCGCCTGCCTGTTCACGGTGACGCTGGCTGTCTGCCTGCATGGACATGTACAGGTCCTTGGCTGACTCGCTGGCTAATTAATTACTCAAACCTCAAAGCTGACCTGTCTGACCTGACCTGCCTGATTGTCCGCCTGGCCCAAAAGACCTGTCTGCCATGCCTTGGCAAAGCTGTCTGCTGCCTGCCAAGGCTCGCAGCGGCTCTCGTGGCATGTCAGCTTCTTGCCGATCATGTGGACCTCCACGTTGAGCTCCTTAATTACTGCTTGGCTGACTGACTGGCTGAGTGACTGACTAAAAAAAAACGAAAGACTGCCCTCTTCTTCCTCAAGCCAGGGACTGTCTTCCAGTTAGTCTTGGCTCCTGGTGGCCTGCCTCTCTTCCGCTTCTCTGCGCCGGCAACTGCCTTGTCCATCCCGTGCCTGGCAAGAGCAGCCCTGGCTTCCTCCTCTGCCTCCTGTCTTCTCTCCTCTGCAGCCTGCTCCTCTCTCTGCCTGGCCTGCTGACCAGATAAGCCGGGGCTTGCTTGCTTCTCTGGCGTCTTGCCGAACAAGTAGTCCAGTCTGTAGAACACTGGCTTGCCTCTGCCCATGCTCTGCTGCACTGGAACCATCTGCCTGCTACTGCCTGGGCTGGGCAAAAGTTCCTGCCTGCCGTGCTGGCTTCTGACTGCTGAGGGGCCTGGACTGTCTGTTCACTCCTTGCAGCCTTCTTAGGCTCGGCCTTGTCATCAGCGCTTGAGAATTCAAACGCATGATGCTTGATAAACAATCGCATGTCTGATCTGTAATTATCTACCCCTTCCCCCTGTCCTGGCTGTTCTCCAACATCTGGCGCAAGATGGCCATCTGGCTGGGGTCCAAGGACTGCACGAGGCTCTGCAAGGACTGCTCCGTGTGTCCATCCTGGCCACCAGTCTGGCTGCCTTGACCATCTCCAGCCATTGCTGCCGCCCAGATCAGCAAAATGCTGTCTGGTCTGAGTTTTCTGCCTGCCTGTGCCCTGCTGGCTGACTACTGGCTGCCTTCCTATCACTGAATGCATGTCTGGCTGTCTTGAAACCCACACTGCCTTCTCGAGCACTGGACTGTCTCGCAGTCAATCACAAGCTGGCTACCTGACCTGCCTGGCTGCACCCCAAATGTGTTTTTTTTAATTGGGTCCTTTAATTATTGGGGTGTCCCTCAAAAGAAAACATGTCCCCAAAAGCTGTCTTCTAGCTGCGACTGTCTCTCTCCCGTACATGCTGGCTAATTAACCTGCCTGGCTGCAAACAAACAACCAGTAAACTGGTAAACAAATAATTAGAATGATACATCAAATTTCCTTATTGAACCGCTTACTCGCGGAACTTACAATTCAATCCATTTCATCCAAATCCTACGTGAACCCTCACATTGTTGGAAAAGCAAAAAAAACCAACCCCAAAAACCCCAATTAAAAATATATATATATATATATATATATATATTTGGGGGGATTTATTTATAATAGGGGGGGGGCGTATTTATTAATAGGGGGAAGAGATTACAGCACCGAATTTTGTCTTGTTTGAACGGCTCCCGTTAAAAGTGTTCTTCACACATGCCCTTCATTGTGCCGCCTTTGTGCGTTGCATTGGCTCCAGCGCACGCCTCTCAAAACTGAGAGAAGATGGTGACGCGTTGACGCGTCAACGTCGCGTCGACGTGAAAATCGGCGCCATGGAGCCGGTCGACTTGCCCCCGCTGCGGTTTCCGCTGCGGGAGGCGCTGCTCTCGTTGCAGCAGAGCGCCCAAGGCCCGCCCTCCGTGCGCACGGCGCTGGCGGAGTCTGCGTCCCTGGGGTCGCTGGGGCCATACAAGGTTTCCAGCACGGCACCTTGGCGGTTCAAATCCACTGATCACTGATCAAGATTCATATATGTAACTGTATGTATACATATTTCTTTATATTAACATGTGTACGTTGGCATTGTAGGACCTCTCAAAGCAGAATATGGGTGTGCATTTATGTCATGGGATAAGTTGCGCTGGCACCGCATGTGACTTCTACGCGGTACGCCCAGTTGGGAGGCGTTGTGCTAGCAAAAGCATGTTTGCTTGCATAACCACCCTCGCGGCACCTGTCTCATTGATTTGAAGCCACGGTCTTTGAACAAGCTGATGCTTTCAGATATCAGATTGCTTGCAGCGCTTTTGGTTCAGAGCTGACACAGTGGCCAGCCCCGTCGTGGCAGGGCTTGCAAGGAAGGCCACGTTTGCCTTAACTCAAGAGAAGTAAAGAACATTCCCCAATCCTTCGCTTGTCTTCCATTGGGGGGACTGCAAAACTCCACCTTCGCTTCGATGGCCCAGTCAATGACTAAATTCACGCGCCATGTGGTAGGTCCATCCCAGTCGTAAGGTTTCGTGGATCGCGGGTGATACATGTTTTCTAAACTGGGACGCGCCCTATTCAAGCATGGGCTCACTCATCCTGTGAGGTCCCCATTGCCCCGCACATTCATGGGGACCTAGTCTTCTTCACAACGGGAAGATGGAACAGGCATGAAGGGGAACCTCCCCCCCAATTTCATCACTGAGGTTTTCAATTGATCCAAAGGATTGTTGCACCACTGTCGGTTTGGGTCTGTCTTCCTTGACTCGATCCACAAGTAGGTGAAGATATCCGCCGTTTTGATTGCTTCCCTGATTTTGGATATAGCTTTCAAATACCAGGCATTGACTACGAAACATATTCACATGGAGTGAAGCCAAGAAACCAAGAAACTACCCCATTTGCAGCCAAAGCCCAGTAAAACAACAAACTGGCATCTCCTCCAAAACCTTTTTATAACGGGCTAAATCTAGAAGAGAGTCAGAAAGTCTGATTTTCTGTGTGGACCTCCCCCCCCGAAAACGTTTCCGCCTAGGAGAAGAGCCGGGCTTTGAAGAAGATTGGGCGCCTGAAGCGCCGCGGGGAGCATCTGGGCCGCGGCTATGCAGAGGAGCGGCCGCTGAGCACCCCGCGGCCCGCGGAAAGGCCCAAGACGGTGCCCAAGAGCGTGCCCTCCGCAGTGAGCCGCAACAAGCTGGAGATGGTGAGGTGGGTTGGTGGGTTTGGGGAGGGTTTTGACACATGTTGTTTTTGTCCTTCTTCTTTCAGTTTTGTGTTTTTCCGGGGGGAGGGGGTGTTTGTTCGTGTTGTTTATGGGTGTGTGTGTGTTGCTTGTAAATTGTCTGTGTGTGCGAGTTTTGGGAGAGTTTGCAAAGAAGAACAAGGTGTTGAGGTCGGGGTGGGTGTGAGTCGAATTTGAGAGAGTTTGCCTACAGAAGAAGAAACACAGGGTGGAGACGTTGAGGACGTGTAGGGGGTTTAGGAGGTCAGGATGGGTTGAGTGAAAATGGATGTGCTGAAAGAAGCCAGGTAGACCATTAGTTTAAGGTTTGGGGTGGAGTTGCTGTTGGGTCAAAGTGGGTTTGCTTGAGTAAAAAGGAACAGCGGGAGACGATGGGTTTCGCGTTTAGGATGGCAGTTGCCAAACGAAAGCTCAAAACCAGCCGTGGCCTGGCTCAACACATGCTCGGGTTTTGGCAGGGGAGGGAGAACAGCGCCTCAGAGCTGTTTATCAGATACACACGAAAGGCCACCTAGGCTCAGCAGTTCGCCCCGGAGGTTTGCGCAGGATGCCGCATCGATTACCTGGCCCATGGAGAAATCCATTTCGGCGCCCAATTTGAATAGCCCTGCCCACGAGGCTTGGGCCACTGGACTCGGACGTGAGACTCATGTCCGTAGAAAAAGCATTCTTCCTTCCAGTTGAACAATATTCATGCCACGTGGACCCCCTTACAGAAAGACAGGAAGTCTGTGAAAGGGCATCAAATTAATCAAGTTATGTAGAAATTTGGTCTAATTTGATCTAACTGCTCGCTTCACAGCCATCCTTCTATGGCGGTTTCGGCCATAAGTCAAGGGAGGCATTTGGGCTCGGAAAGGCTGCAAAAGCACGGAGAGTCCCGACAGTTAAGCCAAGGCGGGTAGAACATGGTTGAACTATGTCCACGTCACTGCGGGGGTGAAGGGCCTTGTTTGTTGTCGACATGTTCCGACTATTCAAGGCTTGAAGACCATCCGTTTGACTTCGATGCTGCCGGATTCTCGGGCTTTCTCCCCAGATGTTTGCCATCGCTTTGGGTTTCCATCATTGGCCTGAACTTCCCCATGCCTGGCTCCAAGGGTTCATTTGGGCACTTGTAAGCTTCAGCATCTCTGCCAGCAGCATCGGTTTAAGCAAATTGTCACTTTACCATTGTGAGGTGGTTGACCCCCCTTTTGCACGCTCTGGCTCCAAACCCCAGACGAAGGTTGTGAATCCGTGATTGTGGCAACCAGCCAGCCCAGCTAGCCAGCCAGCTAGCCAGCTCGCAGCAGCTAGCCAGCCAATCCAGTCAACCAACCAACGATAGATATGGCTGTGACTTGTTTGTGCAGGACGCTGTTCACCAATCACTTTCAAGGTGTTACGGTATTACAATTCACAGCCACACGGGTGTGAATCGTCTATGGAACATGGGGAGGTCTGTTTAATCGTCTGACAAAAGGAAGCCCACGCCAGCCATATGAAAGGCTGTTGGCAAGAAGCTTTGCTTCGAGCGAGCCCCATTCATCCCATTCACCTCTTAGGATATTTCTCTCAGCTCATGTTCGAACGGGGAGACCCCTGCCCTCGTCGAGTAACGGCACTCTCAGGGCCTCAATAATTCGATTAGGATAATGGGGCATTGCTAAGAAACAGCGTTACTCATCATGAGGGAACAGTCCGCAGTCCTTCAATCGACATACCGGCTAAACTCGTGGCCCAAAAAAAACACACTCACACACGGAAATAATTCACTCCCCGAGTTCCCGGACTTTAAACATTTTGAGAAGGCCATTTTGCGGGAACCAAAAGGTTTGAGCTTTGCATTGTTTTGCAATTCACGCAGGAAGTGAGAATAAGAGCGAAAACCATGACCAAGCCAAACCGCCCCTCACTACCCCCAACCGCCAAGTCGAAGCATCGCTTGGGAAGCGAAATTTCGGCCGTTGGATCCGCAGGTCTCCTTAGGTGACATCCCCCAGACCTGGACTTCTGCGGCCCGCGCGGTGCTTGGGCACGGCCGGCGCCATGCCACCCAGCCCTCGAACGAGGAGCCCCCGCCCGCAGGCGCACGCCGAAAGCCGCGGGGTTTTTGGTTTGGTTGTTGGCCACCACTTGTTGGGATGTTGACCACCCAACAGAATTGTTTTTCTTTGATTTGGTGGTCGGTACCCAACGCATCGTTTCTTGGGATGTGCCCCATACCTTTTCAAAGGCAAACATGGGTTCAAGGTCCAAAAACAGGGGTGCGCCAATTAGGCTTTTCTGGAGCGCGAGCGCGTTTGCAGCCCCACATTTCTCACTTCCCCCCGTACGACCTTTTGGTCGCCAGTCTTGATCCGTGAGTCAAGGGTCCAAAAGAGCAACCTTTCTCAGGCCTTTTGCGGTGGCCAAAACCCACAAAACTCACCAGGTGAGATGGATTGAATACTGGTTCCTGGCAACTCGTGCCTCTATTTGGTCACTCCACGGTTGGTGTTGGGGCTGTGTTTCCCTTGAATGCTTTCTCGCAAATTGGGGGGATACGAACATTGGGATCCCTCATTGCTTTGGGTGATTGGGGCTTCCCTTGAACAGTTTTCCTGCATTGTTTGCGGGGAGAGGTGCTAAGCCTGTTGTTGGCAAAGCGAGAGGCACCCTGAGCCCCTCCAGCTGTCCCAGCCGGCGGGAAGTCTTGGGATGGTGGGTGCCTTTCTGAACTATGCAAAGTGTATGCAGTTGTCACGTTTTTTGCTGTCCTGGTGAGTTGCCAGGCTCTTTCACAGTGATTCCATGGGCAATGAATGGTGAGCGCCCGCCCAAACTGAAGCGTTGTGAAGGTGGTAGAGCCGGGATGTTGGAAGACGGTGTTAAACTTAAACCACATTCAACACTTAGGGGACAGGTTGTTAGAGTTAGGGGCATGTAGCTGCTTGCTATTTCCCTTTGAGGCCATTCTTGCAGCGGTCAAAGTTTCTTGACAATTGTTCTTGGGAGGCGTCCTTTGGAAATCACTGGTAGTTTGCATTGACACATGTTCAAAGTTGGAAAGTAAGTGGCTTTGGGAGGGTTGCTTACCCGGTTGGCTGAGCTGGAAAAGGCGAGGCACGATGCCTCAAGACGGGTCAGGTCTCTCGCGCGACTCCTCGTGGTGCGGGGCATCGTTGGCCACGTTGCCGGGACTGCCAAAGGTGGTGAAAGACTGGGCCGGAGCCTTAGACGGCCACCCAGTTATACCAGCCAATGTGCCGATTGTGCCGAACTGGGCACTGGTTCTTTGAAGGTGCTGTCTAAAATTAGCACCCGCAGGATGTCGTTGTGGTATCACCCAAACTCGCAGTGCAGCAGGTTTGATGTCATCATTTGAAGCAATGCTGCGTTGTCGCAAGTTGCATGCCGTGGATCATGGCGCCGGACATGCGGTTTGAAATATCTGGGAGAGAACCAGTACCTTTTGATCCCGGAGTTGGTCCCTTTTGAGCCATGCCCCGAAGGATGTGCGTTTTCACTCCCAGCCCAAGGTTTTGTCGATGCCTGATTAACTGAAAACTGATAGCCGACGTGGGACCGGCGAGGAAGGGCTTGACTCAGGTTTCAATTCGTGGTTTGGATTGGTGGTGTGGGGGGGTTTGAACCCCTCGTTAATGCAGAAGGAAACGGAACTCCAGCCGCAACCTTCAAACAAGCCATCCAAACCACCAAGTGGAAAGGTGCTTAACTGCTTCAATTCGACCGGTCAGGCGATCACCGGCCTAGAGTTCACCGACGGAGGCCTGGGCATCGGATCTCGGGACAACCCGGAGGTGACGAATCTGGTGAAGCGCTCTCCAGGCGCGGCGCGGGGAATCGGATGGCTCAAGTCGGTCAAGTCGGTCAAGTCGGAAGGGCGGGGGTCGGTTGCCATACTGTTCCTCGAAGGGTGGTTCACGTGTTCGACCTGAATCATTACCAGTAGAGCCGGCGAAGCCGGTGGGCGGAAATTTCAAAATATAAAAACTATAGTTATCTTTCTCTTTCTTGTCTTGATTATTGTTCTCTTCATCTTCTTTTTCACTGTTTCTCTTTTTCTTTGTCATTCATTATTTCTTTATTTCTTTCTTTCTTTCTTTCTTTCTGTCTTTCTGTCTGTCTTTCTTTCTGTCTGTCCTTCTTTCTGTCCTGCTTCCTTCCTTCTTTCTTTCTTTCTTTCTTTCTTTCTTTCTTTCTTTCTTTCTTTCTTTCTGTTTTTCTTTCTTTCTTTGTTTTCGTTCTTTTCGTTTTTGATTTCTTTCTATTGTCTTATTTGTTTACGCCGTTCTTTCTTTGTCAATCTAAGTATTTATCTATCTATCTATCTATCTATCACTCTAAGTATCTCTTCCCTAAGTATCTATCTATAACTCTATCTATAACTCTATCTATCTATCTATCTATCGATCGATCTATCTATCTATCTATCTATCTATCTATCTATCTATCTATCTGTCTACTCTCTCCATCTATCTAACCTAACTACCTATTTATCGATCTCTCTCTCTCTCTCTATGTATATCTCTGTTTATCTATCAGTTCATCCATCTATCTATCTATCTTTCTCTCTCTAGCTATCTATCTATCTATCTATCTATCTATCTAGCTATCTAGCTATCTATCTATTTATTTATCTAGCTATCTAGCTACTTCTCTCTCTCTATCTATCTCTCTATCTGTACTTGACCTTGCCAAAGTGCCACGCCTGCCACAAAATATGTACTTGACCTTGCGAAAGTGCCGCGCCTGCCACGAAATCTGTACTTGACCTTGCGAAAGTGCCACGCCTGCCACGAAATGACCTTGTGAAAGTGCTGCGCCTGCCAACGAAATCTGTACGTGACCTTGCGAAAGTGCTGCGCCTGCCACGAAATCTGTACTTGACCTTGCGAAAGTGCTGCGCCTGTCACAAAATCTGTACGTGCCCTTGCGAAAGTGCTGCGCCTGCCACGTAATTCAATCCTTGCGAAACCTTCGCGTTGCCGTGCCAATGCGCCCGCGCGCCGAGCGCACTCCGAGACCGCTCCGAACGCGCTCCGACCAGACGCCGCGAACAGGCTAGCTTTCAGCTCTCCGGAGACGCCAATTCACGCACAGGGCCATGCTTTTGGCGCATTTCTATTCTCCAACCACACGCGCGCGCATATTTTCTCGCGTGCTTGTTCCTTCTCTTGTCATCTGTCTCAGAGAGAGCTAGCTTTCAATTAGTTGCCGTAACACGGAAGTTCTTTCTAAACTTCCTTTGATAATATTATTTGTTGAGCCTTTGTAAGGTCAATTCCTTGGTGACGTTCTAAGGGAAAACGTGGGGAGGCCGGGTGAGACGTGCCCCAAGACAGGGCGGAAGAGGGCTATTCAAGTTTCCACGCAATTTGCGCCAGACGCCAGATTCATTATTCGACAGTGACTATATGTCGTCATTCGAGGCATGGGTATCACTCGGTTTCATTGAAATGTGCCGCAAAACATGGTCCCTTGTGGCTGCCTCTTGCACGAGCCTGAGAAGGTCTGCCATGGAACCTGACTGGAGGGTGTTGGAAAACAAGTTTCAAAAGAGACTCTTTGGTCGGCTCCATCTTAGACGGGAAGATAGCTTGAACCGATAAAATTTGGGAAGCCCGGCCCGGGCGGTATAATTGGCGCGGAATATGCCGAGGTAGCTGAGCCACAATCAAACACCAGGTAGATGAAGGCAACATAAGGCAACCATCAATAGGCACGGATATCCATTATTGATTGTTGTTTACAAGTTTTGGGTAGACCGTATGTAGGCCAGGTTTTTATAATGACTTTTCCTTGCGTGGCAGTTGGATCGCTACCACCCAACACAAGCATCAATCAGAGGAGGGCTGCGGAGTTTACATGTTTGGGTGGATGCGTGAAAGGATTGCGCTTCCCCCTGCCTCTTAGGAGAGCAAGGAGTTTTGCTTCAAGGATGAGTTTCTGTCAGTCGAACCAGGTACCATCCTTTGAAATCTCTGGTATTTGCTTTAAACAAATTGTCAAGAGGCTGGTGAAGCGGCCTACTCCCAAAATTCGACCAGGTTTAGCCGCATGCGTAGTGCAATTAGACATTGAGGCTTCAACTATGACGTGAAGAGTGGGAACGTGGGACTTTGGACGCGTGGCTGGCAAAGATGTGCTATGAAGCACTGCGAAGGGTAGAACGTGCATTTTCCTGATGTCAGACCCTGACGTTTGAGGCGTCATGTGTTATCTTGCCGTGTGTTTCCCCCAAGCGTCCAGGGCCATCTTGGCGGTTGCCATCCATTGGCCACGCTGATTGAAAGCTTGGCCGTAAGCCTGGCGTTCCGCTAGATCCTTCTCAGGATTGGCTCCAAGGTCACATCTCTTGAGGTTTGTTCGTCTGGGCTTTTTTCAGGCGCACAGCATTCAAAGGTTGCAGCAGTGGAATGCCTTGGAACGCCCAATGCCCATCAATTGAGTTGCCACCAAGGGCTGGGAATCTTATGCCCATAGTTGCCCTTGCAATGATCGTTCCGCCCTCTTTCAACCGGGTGCTTAGCAGCCCAGGCTTGTGTTTGTTAAGCTTTTCCCAAGAAGGAAGCCAAACGGGGACGGGCAATTTCCACAAAAGGAAACCAACATACGGTCAAATGTTTAAGGGGTCCAGTTTTTGGTTTTCCGGATAAACAACAACAAGAAGAACACACCAGAGCTGGTCCATTTGTTTTCCAGTTGCCTCCTCCCCCCACCCCACAAAAAAAGACGAAGAAGAGAAACATAACAAACAGCACAAAAACACCAAACAACACAAACAAAAACACAAAACACACAAAAACAGCAACAAAGCACAACAACCACAAAACACAATAACAAGGAGGAAACAGAAACCAAAAACCTCACACTGAGAGCTTACCGAGGAACCCCCACGCCTCGCTGCCCACCAAGCAGCCACTGTCTCAGCACTTCTCCGCCGCCTCTGCGCGCATGGGCGCCCGCCGTGATGTGCAGAAGCGCTATGAGCGCCCGGAGCCCCCAGCGAGTGCGGGGTGGGGGGCTGGGGGTTGGCAGGGTGGTTTCTACAAGGGAGGGAAAACCCGAAATCCGATCAAAAGGGGTGTCTGGTTTTGAGGGAAGTGTTTGGGGTTTGAAGGGGAAACGAAAACCAAACTGATTGGGTCCAGCCTCCCAGAGGAATTTCTGCCAGGGGAATGGCGACCAGTGAGGCATTTGGACCCTTTGCAAACAATTCTGAGATGCCACTTGGAAGCTACGATGCATTTCCCGAACCGAGGTGAAGACATGACATAGATTCAGTTGAATTCAGTTGTGTTTGCTTCAAAGGTGGCTTGGTGGATCAGCTTTGTCTGACTGCTGGTCGGGTTGCTTTGGATTCGATATGATTCGATGATTGAATTTGTGATTTACTGTGATTCTGACTCTGTCATGAAACAAAATGTGTGGTTTTCGTCTGCAGCATGTATTTTATGCCGTGGTCATCTTGCTGGTGCCCAGTAGGGAATGAGGGAATGAACCTAGGGATTCCCCGCAAGGAAACCATAGGACATGGATGGCTTAAATCGGGGTCATTCCATTTCTCATTCCCTGCCTGTCGCACCGATCGCAAGTCATTGTGGGGGTCCTTTTTAAAACCAATGCTGAGGTCGCCCAGGCCCCGGCTACTACGACGTTCCTGGCTTCACCGACGAGCTGCTCAGGAAGATCGCCAAGCGACCTGGCTACTCCCCATGGACTGAGCAGCTGAAATCGGCGAAGCACTCAAAGTGAAACCAGCCGCTTGTTAGGGCAATGCTGGTTCTGGGTTAGCGTTTGGGACCATCTTACATCCTTGCCCTTGACTAAAATGAGGAACAAAGAACAGATCATAAACCTAGGTGGTAGGTTTGGGTTGGAACGTTGACCAAGGGTTGTGGCTAGGGCACTTTGTTTAGAAGCTTGCGCGAATCTATTGCGGAAAGCACAGCAAGTGGCTGGCCCTGATGGGGGCATTCAGCTGGCTTGCGTGAGTTGCTGGGTCTAGGGCAGCAAATTGTTTCGACTGTTGTTCAACGGACAGTCCGCGCCATCCATTTTGCATGGCCAGCTGGCTGGTTTGCGTGCCACTGCCTTGTGTTAGTAGAGTTTGCTGCAAGCATCACCGTCATGAGACATACATCATGCTGCATGCGGGTGCCGCTTCCAGGGTATCCGGTGGTTGCCTTGTTTCTGGCTCTACTCGGAGGTTTTATGTTGCTTGCTCCCACAAGAGGCCCTTTTTTCATTGGCCACTGAGCAGCCTGCATTTGGCTCGGCCAGCCTTTGGCATGCTGGCAGCAGCCATCGGCTGCCGAACGTCTCACCCTGCTGCCTGCCTGAGCGCAGCTACCATTGACGAAGAGAAAAGGGCCATCAGCACCTCTACACTGGGACCGCTCCGAGTAAACACCGCAGAACCCGATCGCGCCCCACGGAACTTGCTCGCGGCCCCAAGGGGGCCGCGGCTGCGCACCAGCCTCAGCTTCAAGCTATGTCCGCCCGTCGTTGGCAGGGGATGCATCTGCTGCGGTGGCTCCGGGCGCGCTTCAGCTTGTTGGAGTCAGGGGGCCCCAGAGTGAGGGAGGGAAGCTTTGGGGTCTCAGCCCAGATAGGATTCGGGGTGGTCCCTGAGGTAAGGTTCCACGAGGGTTCCACCAAGGTTCCACCAGGGTTCCACGCGGGTTCCACGAGGTTCTGCGAGGGCTAGCGTGGTGCGATCACTAAAAAGAGCATCGTCATGGTGTTGGGGATGTCACATGAGCTTATTTTGTTCATCCCTTCGGACAACTTAGGCCAACTATGGCCTTCCCCCCTTTGGCACGGGATTGATTCAGCGTGAGTGCCCAGTAGGGGGGAGCCAATTTTTCAAGTGTGTGTAGGGACAGTTTAGCAGATGCTGCTGGGGATACGTTGAAACGCCAAATGTCAATCTTACTTGTATTTCAGGAGCACCGCAGGGTTTTCAATATGCTCTCTTATTCTTTTGCAGGCTCTCTCATGCTCTCTCATGCTTTCTCATGCTCTCTCATGCTCTCTCATGCTCTCTCATGCTCTCTCATGCTCTCTCGATCTCTATCTCTCTATCTCTCTATCTCTCTCTCTCTCTCTCCCTCTCTCTCTCTCTCTTTCTCTCTCTCTCTCTCTCTCTCTCTCTCTCTCTCGCTGCCTCTTCAAGCTTGTAGCAAAAGGCGTCAGTCAGCATGCACAGCAGCTGTTTGAGACTCACAAGGCTGGCCCAGTTTACAGGGGACCCACGCCCCGTGGACAATATCCATTGGTTATCCATTGGTCATCCAGGGTTGTGCTTTGGCTTGGGGAGGGATGGTGTTACTCAACCGACAGGTTGATGCGCACGTGTCGGAAAGTTGTGCACGACCCTCTCCAGGAATCTAGTTTTGACAGCCATCTCTAGCAGCTAGCATCGTGCACAGCTTCTTTTTTTTTAAATGTTTTTTTTGTTTTTCCCCGAGCCCCTGTGCAAGACATTGACTTCCTCAGCAGCATTGAATGATATTGAATGCATGCGCGCAAATGCCTGTTTTCGCTTGATTCGCATGCGAGTTTGACCACAGACAGGAATCAGAATGTAACGTCCGCCGTTTCGGCATGTTGCCACGGGGAGCAAGGAGGCTGCTTGACATGTGGAAAGATCTGGGCGATCAGGCCGAATCTGCTGCCAAGTCCTAGGGTAGTTGACAGCGGCATTAAGTTGCATGCTCTCATTTGTTGATTATTCTTCCTGCATTACAAGGCGCGCTGGAGCAATTGGCCTACGCGAGCGTCAAATGATATTCTTCAACTGCTTCGAACGCAATTGCCCCCCTTATCAGCTTAATCCTGGCTGCTATTTGGTTGGATATCTAACCCTTAACTTTTGCAGGGGAGGTGTGTTTCCATTTGACCAACAAGTTGAACTTTAGCTTGTTCCTGGGCAATAGCCACGAACTGCAGACGAATTGACCTCGGATCGCCGCAGGTTGCCCATCGTGGTGGTCTCCACTGATAGCTCGCAGAGCGCCATGCCGCTGTGGCTGCACGATCTATGCGCATGCCTTTGGTCGGAAGTTGGTGGCTTCTGAATTGTTGCGTCAGGGTGAACGTAGATAGCGCAATACCCTGTGGGAGGGCATGGCAAAATGAGGAAGTTGTATGAAGTTGTGCCATCTTCTTTCACCAATGCTTGGGAATGGAGTAGCGAGGATGGAGCTGTCAGTCATGGTTCGTTTTCAAGAAGGAACATGCCGTGCTTTTCTTCGCTAAGCACGTCGGCCTGACCGCTCTAGGGCAAAAACCGCTTTGCCAAAGTGTTGCGCAGGGAATCCCGGGCCTGGGAATCACTCTACGACAGGCACAACAAAGCATTCACGGCATTTTTTACCTTGGCAAGGGTTCTTTGTAGACATACCATTATAAAATAAAAATAATGCCAATTTTGTTGTTACGCCCACTATGATCATGCTGTTGCAAGCTCTATTCGATGTTCAAAGCAAACCCTCAATTTCCATTTGGAAAAGCAACACTCTGAGTGGCCAAAATGTTCCCTTTATCGGGCCTTCCAGCTGCATTGGGTGGCACGGTTTAAAAAGCAACCCCTCAAAACTGATGCTGAAAGACGACTGTGCAGGCCAAGAAAGCAGTCAATGTCCAGCAAAACAGTGAAACCATGGACCAGCAACATCCGGCGCCTCACTCCTAACAGAAGCCCACTGCAAAAGCAGTAGCCTTGCCAAGGGCCTCCGGGTCGGGTCAAGTGTGTCGAGTGACAAAGGCAAATCGTATGCCAAATGAACCAAAGGACAAGAAAAGGCCCTTTTGCGGGAACTTACCACCCCAAACTCTGCAAAGACCGAAATGGGACGATTGCCTGTTGAGAGATTCGAGGGCAGCCGGCTTTTGCACGTCCGAGGATCGAAGCAGTGGAGGCCGGATGCAATGAGTGGATCGCCAAGCCCTTCACAACGCAGGAGCCGAGGGAAAAAGCCTTGAAGCCGAGTCTGTCAAGGTGAGCAGGATGTGTTCATTCAATTTGCCTGTGGGTCGTCCCGACATGACTATGTTTGGGAAACTGGCATGAAAAGTAATTTGGAGAGTCCCCTTGGGCAAGTTGTCACCCAAAACGCCCGAAGTATGCTGTGAACCTGAGAGTTCCATGAGCCAGTCAATGAGCCAGGCAGTCAGTACGACAGGGAGATGTCATTCTCAAACACATGGGCTGTGTGTTTTTTGAGGGTACCCTTTTCTTGGGTTGTTTTTAAGGGAAGCCCAAAGAAAAGCACCCACCTTGGGTATCCCGTATTTTGACACATGCTCAGTATATATATATATATATATATTTCGAACAACCGCATGACTTCTGTGAAGCGCGCATCTTACGATCTGTGAGGTGTGACGGGGCTGACTCAAATGTCGGAAGGAGGCAACCAATGTAGCCGGGCCCCGCGATCTTAACTTGTGCTTGAATGAGGTGATGCGTGGCTGAGGTATGTGCAAAATGGAACCAATGTTTTGGACGAGCCCTGTGGTGTTTGCAAAGAAAAAAGGCAAAGCAACATGACGCCTTGTGGGGAGCGGCCTTGTGAAGGAGCTACTTGGGCGAATTAGCTTGGCAATGAAGCCGCGATGCAACGTGCATGGCAAGGCTCGGCTGCGTGAGTGGTGCCGAAACTTAGATTCGTGCAATGGCGGGTTGATCATTCACACTGAGAGAAATGCAGCTGTTTTGTGGGTGGACGGACGGTTCATGTGCCCAATATGACGCACACCCTCGTTTTTCGCCTGCTTGAGACGGTCAGGATGTGCGACCGCCGGGGGCACAATGGGCCATGGAGCGGCAGCGTTGGTTCTGGCAGGTTTTCGGCTTTTTCCCGCGTTCAGAACAATATGGTCACTCAGTTGTTCAAAGCGGATCGACCTTTTGGCCTTTTGGTTTTCCAAGGTTGATCCATATTTAGTCATGGCCCCAAAAGATTCACCTTTTATTTCTGGGTCCTTTGGGCAACTGAGGTCACGGTTGGGCTCAAACCAGCCACGGCCAAGAGCTGACTTGGAAGTTGGGGACAACCAGGTTTCAACAACATCGGTGCTCAGAGACACAAATTTTGGCTTGGTGCTCCAGCTGTCAAGTGTTTGAGACAGGAATGCAGCAACTTGGAACAACCGAGAGGTTTTTGACGAGTGGCCTGTGCGTTGGCAATTCTTATCAGGCATTGTATTTCGTTTCTGCTCGTCATGGTGTGTCCACTGCAATTGCCGCGGGAGGGAAGGCAGACCCGCCAGTTTTGGGAAAAAAAGAACACCATTTGCCGCCTTGGCACGAAACCACCCAGCCCAATGAGCAGCGCCCAAAACCCAAAACCACACCTTGGCCATTTTAGGTGGTTCTAGCACCTGGTTTTATGAGGCTTGCATAGGGCATGAAGTCTCTACAGCTCGGGTGTTGGGCGCTCATTTTGATCTCGTCGTGCCAAAGCTTTGTTCGGCCGCGTTGAGGCGAAGGGTCTCGATCAGCTCAGAACTAAGAGGAAGCAGCTCCTCGGCTAGGGCTCAAACGTTCAGTCAAGAAGCATTTCTTGGGTCTCCTTCAAAACCGTTTCATATTTTAGGGCGGTTCAAACTTACTTGGTCGAACAGCCTGCAGAGTCGGATGTGTTCAGAGGTCCGGGGTTCAGTTCAAGCGACCCGATTTGTCTGCACGATCTCTCAATTTCCCGACAAAGACCAACCAGCAGCCCTAAATGTCCCATGTCCTGGGGAGTCTTGCGCTTTCATGGCCTCCGCGTTTTCACCCTTTGAGATGGGTGGGGCACGGTGAACTCAGC